CACTGGGAAACACTGCTTCAGCACAATCTGATGAAAACTGTTTGCTTGTGCCTCTAACACGTTCTAGAAGCATTGGGCCCAAGCGCCAGTCATCTGACTGCATTTTGAAACAAGCATGTTTTGTAAGAATCTGTGCTTTTACCAGTCAGCAATTTCTCAGAACACCAACAGGAAATCTGTCATTTTTAATTAATCAAGGCCTCCTGACATGCTTTGGTGGAGGCAATGTTTGGTAGTGAGGATCATGTGCTGTTGCTGCTTAGCAACTGTTTGCCAAAGCCCTTCTAAGGGAGAGCCCTTAGATCTTCCTGTGGATTTTCACACCAGCCTGTCACTGCAATAGCCTCCAGTCTGAAACTCAGCAATGTAAACAGTCATTACTCTTCAGGAGGAGCCTTGTTAAAACAGTTTGTTATCCATGCATTAGAGACATGCAGCTCAGTCAATTTTGTGCTGAGATACCATTCTCAGGACAAAACATTTCACATTCTTTTAATTTTTTTAGCTGGTGATTCTCTGATTTTACAGCCACTTTCCCATGAATCTGTAAATGTGTTTATAACATTTCAAGTATGTCGTTTAATTAATGATTATTTTTTAGCCTCCTTTCATTTACAAATACTTTACTATCACATAAAGGTTATTTATAAGAATGTGATTACCTAGAGTTCTGGCTGATTTATGTGCTCTGTACTGTATGTTCAATTATAATTATGCAACAGTACATGTTTTGTGGCAGAGGGCAGAATAGTGGCTAAGGTTTCGGATTTCAATAAGGTTGTGGGTCAGAATTCTCACTGTGGAGACTACTGCTTAACTCTTCAAGTAAGCAAGGTACTGTATTTCACACTGATGTCTTCAATCCACCCAGTTTTAAAAAAAGGTAAATAGAATAGAGTCACATAATCTAAATCTGATTAATCCTATAGCAAATCAGTTACTCTACAAGACTCCAATATTAACGTTAACTTTACTTTATCTCTATATGACATCAATCCTAACCACAATTCTTTTAAATTGAATAAATGACACAATTATTTAGTGTTTTTAAACACAATTATGGATATGTCTATATCTACTGCAAAATAGATTAAGTGTATTCTGATACATGTAAGTACAATATGTTGTTGGGGCCCCTTGTTTTGTCAGGTTTACAGTTGTGCTAGAAAGTCTGTGAATTTCTGCATAGATTTGACCTAAAATCTGATCAGATCTTCATCTAAGTCATACAAATAGATAAAAATAACCCAATAAAACAAATAATCGAAAAAGGATATACCTTTTAATTCATTTATTGATCAAAATGATCCAACATTTAATGTCTTTGTTGGAAAAAGTGAACCTATGCTTTCAGTAACTGGTGCGACCCCACTGAGCAGCAATTACTTCAACCAAATGTTTACAGTAACTGTTGATCAGAGAACTAGAGAAGTAGTTTACAACCTTCGACAGCACACTTTTTAGTTGACACAACAGGAATTTGCAGAGATGGTGCATATTAAAGGCTTTAACCCATGCATCTTCTTATCCAATAACTAGGAAACCCCCCAGAAGGGCACAGCACACTCTTTAAAAGGGAGGTTCTAAGAATGAGAATATCTACCGATTTTTCTTATCTGTTACTGCTTCTATTCAGAGCTGACCATTCATTAGTAAGAAAGCAGAGCAGCAGTAAAATTAAAAAACGATACAGTTAAAGATTATCAAAAAGAGTTAAAAGTAGAGAATCAAGGAAAAACAATATGCGTTTGGAAGAAAGAAGAAGAAACAATTCCCTCCTGAGACCTCTGGTTGCACAGCAGGTGAATGAAGAAAAAACCACAACTGTGAAGACTGGAAAGAGAAATGCCTAACACGAAGTCACTGATACAGAGAATGAATCAGAGTTTAATGGTGATGATTCAAATGGCATCTGAACACACAAAACATTGGTTGTAAACATTAATGATGATCAAAATCTGACGGACAGTGAAAACCTTTAAATAGAACAGTATTAATAATAATAATAATTGCTTACACTTATATAGCGCTTTTCTGGACACTCCACTCAAAGCACTTTACAGGTAATGGGGACTCCCCTCCACCACCATCAATGTGCAGCATCCACCTGGATGATGCGACAGCAGCCATAGTGCGCCAGAACGCACACATCAGCTATCAGGGGGGAGGAGAGCAGAGTAATGAAGCCAATTCATAGATGGGGATTATTAGGAGGCCATAACTGGTAAGGGCCAATGAGAAATTTAGCCAGGACACCAGGGTTACATCCTTACTCTTTTCGAGAAACACCCTGCGGTTTTTAATGATTACAGAGAGTCAGGACCTCAGTTTTATGTCTCATCCGAAGGATGGTGCCTTTTTACAGTATAGTGTCCCCGTCACTATACTGGGGCATTAGGACCCACATGGACCGCAGGGTGAGTGCCCCCTGCTGGCCCCACTAACACCTCTTCCAGCAGCAACCTTAGTTTTTCCCAGGAGGTCTCCCATCCAGGTACTGACCAGGCTCACACCTGCTTAGTTTCAGTGGGTTGCCAGTTGTGAGTTGCAGAGTGAGTGCTGGCTAAGAATTAAGAATGATCTACTTAAAAAAACAGTATGACTATTTCAGAAAGGAAGTAAGTACATTGCAGAAATGTATACCAGTAGAAGCAATAAATTACAAGGGGAATATCCACCTTTCAGATAACTCATATAATTCACATTCATCCAGATAATTCATATCTGTTAGTCATTATGAACTCATAAAAAAAATATTTCAAAATTAGATCATTTTTAGTTTTACTTACAATTTAGTGTGCTTAAACTGATTACAGATTTTTTTTCAGTACATAATTGTAAGTGCTGTTCTAATAAAAGGTGTTCACTATTGGTCAGATTTTTATCATCCTGTAGTTGTTCTCTGATTTATATTGAGCTTGCAATATATACATTATATATACATTTATTATTTAGATAAAAAAATACAAAGACATCACAATGGAGTGTATAGCTGATTTATAACACTGCAATAATTCTCTGAAGAGGAATTGGGGTCATTCTCACAATGATGCACTTCCCAAAGTCAGAGATTAGTATCAGATTACTAGAACTGGACTACAAATTTGCTCACTTACACTGCACCCAAAATTACTTCTGAGTTTTAGCTTTATAAAGTAAATCACATAATTATCAAAGTTCTCGCTGCCATCAAGCATGCAACAAGAAAACTGCAGCATGGCAGAGCTTTGTGATATCCTAATGCCATTAACAAGCTACAAGTATGGAGCCCGAGTCCCAGAAAACCTCTACACAGCTGCCACTACTCAGACTCTCCCTGCCATGGTTCCAGTTACATTCTACTGCACAGGCCTTCCAATAAATGCTGTAATATTCCCAATTAATAACAAAAATTCAGCATCCATTCAGCTTGGCATACCTCACAGAAACTCAAAAGAAAGTTCTGAACCTTGCAGATGTAAAACCAACCAGAAGACTGTGTCAAAAGACTGCACAGTGAATGATGGAATAAGTTGCTGAGAGTTTTTGCTTAATGCTTCTTCATGTAACAGTTGTGAAACATCCAGAATATAAATAAACTATGCTGGAACTTGGGAACACCTGTACACATACAGTATATAAATTTTAAATGTAGAGCGCTAGTAACTCAGCTTCCCTTTAACGATTTGGAGTAATTACCTTTTAGTGGATCGAAATAATAAAAACAAATCTTTATAGATGGAGCAAATAAAAAGAGATAAGGAAAATTCTAAACTCGGGGGACATGAATGGTATGTCTATAACATGATGAGAAGGAAACTTTTGTGCTTATATTCAGTGCATGATTACTGAGGTTAATTAAATTTAAAGCTTGAAAATGTATTTAACAATTATTTCTGCAGGATTTTCCTGTTTATTACTCTCCTATTCCAGATACTTTCTTCTTGGAAATTATGATAAACTAGTAGGGAAATTATGACAAACTGGTGGACGTATCACTATACTGTATAAGAGTAATGGCATTCATACTTGACCTCTTCAATGCCAATAGAGCATAAGATGACTGAAACAGGACAGGATTTTAAAGTTCTGTCTCAAAGTGTCTGGTGAACACAGAGTAATAATTTTATCTTTTGACTTACCTGTTAAAAAAGTCAAAAATACCAAAAATGTGCTTCTCACAGAGTGGAACCTTTAATAATACTGAACACCAACTCAACCTGTTGCCCATCTACAGTAGTTCATTCTTTTTCAAATTATTTCTGCAACTCCTTAAATATTTAATTGAGGTATACAATAGCAAGATCAGCATGCCAGTAAAGCTGAATCAAAGTACTGAAGATGCTTGTGCTGAAAGTGTCAAATGCTGATTAGCCACGTTCTAGACAGTGGTTCCCAACACCAGTCCTGAATGATTACTGTGTCAGATGAGGTCTAAATCACTAGTGCTACTGATGCTTTTAATTGATCAGTTTATTTTTGTGTATTCATGATGTTTCTAAGATTAGTCCTGAGTTTTAAAAATTCCCTACTTAGAACATATTGTTTTCAACAACTTCAGTGTACAGAGTTTTGAGCTGTCATTCCTCAAATGTTCTAAACTTAAATTCTGACTAAAGGTTTATGATGAACAGACGTGAGAAACAGAAGTGGGAATGACCATGTATGACACAATCTCACTATCTTTGTTAGCTTAATTACTTCTGGATCTGTTGGTTACATTTCAGGCAAACACATCTGATTTCTGAAACACAAGATTTGTGCATGACTGACAGAAATTAGAAATAGCCATTCAATGTTTTCAGAACTAAAAGATTATTGTGTTGGTTATTGCATTGTATACGGATTCTTTACAACACCAACAGATCATAATCATTTCCAAACGAGAACAGAGATCAGAATGAATCGTACAAAACTTCTGACCAACAGAAACAGTCCCAGTTTAGAGATATCTGCCAACTCTGTAATATTTGAAATAGTCTACTACATCTCAAAAACTGAAGAGGTTTAGGTGATCTTGCCTCTTTCATCTTTGCAGCGCTGAACGTGGGCGTCAGAATGCTACGGACTCTCTTCCATCTCTCGTCACGTAAAAACAGAATGCTCTCACTGATTGGCTTGGTGCTCAGCCTCAGGTGCTGCAAAATACAAAATATATTAAATCAAGCAAGTATGTGCAAAGACAGCATTCAAATTCTACCATGATTTTACATTACATTGTGAATGACAAATATGAATATATATATATATGTCGAAGGTATTAAAGCATAAGAGAGCTGCACTGATCCTGGAGGCCTGCAAGTTTTAAAGGCTGCTTTAAGTCAAACAGTAGAGATCTGGCAAGCATTTTCACTCTACCTATTCAAGCAAGTAACTGATCCATCAGAGCTATTCAGCTCAGCTGGAATGAAAGTCATAGGACACTAACGATCTCTAGGACCAGGACTGAGGAACCCTGAATTAAAGTTACATTATTAGGCTCATTTGCTCGTAAGTTGTCTGTATCCCATTTAAAACCATTATGCTATCTCTTTTGGTTCCAGATAAATGTGCTGCAATTACAGGATTTTTTAAAGAAATGTATTTCACTTACTGTAAATTGTTATCATCACAACATTTCACCACAACTTTTATAAACTTGAATTGTATAGCCAGAGATTCAATCATTTTTTTTTAAATAGAATGATACAAATTTCACTCAAATGCAAAAAAAATCTGATATACTGACTGTATATCAGCAAATATATACTGTACTGTGAGGAACATACAAGATATACTGTACAACACTTTTCAAAAGAAGCAATTGATTGTCCATACACTTATATTAATATTCACATAGAAATTGCTGCCCCCAAGGCTTATTTTGTAAAACTTTCAAACTAATAGTGCCTTTTCAATGACTACCAAATCCAAAGAATTCACAGCATGTTTTTGTTATTTTCTTATTCCTATTTCATTTATTTGGAAAATGTTAAAGCCAGCGCAGCCACTTTGTCTCATTTGAGGAGATCTGGTCTTGTTTTCCTCTTCGAACTGCAGGCCTGTCATATTCCCCTGTCAGTTCTGATACGATGAACTCAGAGGAGACATATGAGCACAAGCTGTCTTCTTTTACTTTTTACCCTTCAAATGTCCTTCACGTAGATCCCCTATGACCCACTTCAGTAACTCAGAACAAACTCTACTAGTAAAGGGAGTGAAATGAATTCACTGAACAGTTCACTCAGAGTTCTCTCTCTGAAGCCTCCCTAAAATTCCCCTGTCAAAGAAGCTCAGTTTCCACTAGATGTTATCTAAAAATCAACATATACTGTAGAGGCAGTAATATATTCTCTTCACTCTATTGAGCCTGATCAGGCTAATGACTCACATCTAGAATAGGACTACAAAGAACAGTGACCCAATGTGCTTACTGTCAGGAGACTATACCTACATTAGCATTAAACTTCAGAATGTGATTTTAAGTCTTATCAGAATTCAGGATAATAAGAGATAACTGGTAAGTTTGGGAACTATCTCACCATAACTCTTTTTTTACTCTAAGATTCCATTATGTAAATCCAACCATTATGAGAAAACTATATATTACTGCTAAAGGGTCACAGCCACTTGGAGCATCAGAAGCACAGGACAGATGGTGGGAATAAACCCTGGACAGGACACCAGTCCATCAGAGGACACACACAAGTACACTTTACAGATAACGTAGACCTGGAGAAGGTACTGTATATAACCATGTTCCTCAAGACATATTTTTGAGGTACTGCAGGAGTATGAGGTGCTGGTGTCACTTCTATAGCCTCTCTGATTCCTTCATTCTTAGAGAGTTGGGTCCATATACTTAGCTTTAAGTCACATCCATTCAGGTAAGATCCAGCCATTCAAAATACGTGAAGTACGCTGCGTCAAAGCCTCTGGAAGCACCCTGTAAAACTGCCAGGTGGAGCTGTTGTCAGAAAACGCCCGGTTTCGAATCCTGGTCACTGCTGAGGGACAATCTTTTTCCAATTAAGAATTTAAGTTGTATACTCTTTAGACTTTCAATAATTTTAAATTGTGTATAACAGCATGTTAATCATTAAACATTAAAAAGTCGGTATATTTTATAAAAACAAGATTGCTCCGTTGGACAAGAGTACACAACCTTTAACCTTCATCATAAATATTTTCATTATGCATGAATATTTTTAAGTCTTTAACTTGGTAACTTACATGGGTTCTGGTTTTAGCATGCTTGTTCTAACATTATTAAGCTTATATTGTGTACTTATAACGTTTTATCCTTTTCTAAGAATACGTACTGTAGGAAGATCACCACTTGCTATTAATGTAAAAAAAAAAAGTTGTACTGTTTTAATACCACTTGATAGTAATATTAATATGGATTCGTGTAACTAAGCAGCTAAAATATTTTGGAAACATATTTTGGAGATTTTGAAAACATTTTGACACTCGTTTTTTTTAAAAGCTTGTATTGTTCTTGTAGTGGTAATGGAAAACATACTGTACAGTATGTTGAAACCGTACCATGCCCGTGAACACGTGTTACACCTTCAAGTAAGCCAGTGACTGCTGTTTATTATGTTGAGATGAGGTTGTGTAATAAAAACAAATAACAAAGAGTTATAGAGCAGACACGTTGTGAATCCCCTCATACACTTGTTAAAATGTTCCAATTTTTATGCAATACGGAAGATATTATTAATAGTATTAATAATGAATGACCTTGGACAGGCTGTAAGCTCAAAGCATTACCATGGTCCACTTTCTTTGAAACCGTCCGCATCTGTTTAACTCATTCACCCATGATTATGTGAAAACATTTTGCCTGCCCTTTTCAACAACAGCTTACGTTGCTAAGCGATGCATTCGTGTAATGGCTTAGGATGTGCCTTGCATGATGGAGGTCAGGGGTTTGAACCCAGCTGATGCCATGAGTTTCTTATTAACAAATAAACATTTCTTTGAAAAACTAAAATAGTAAATATTATTGACACTTTCTTGAATTTGTTGGTATTTCTAAATAGCACAACACGTTCAAAGTTAAGTGAGTTAAGTGATTAATCTTTTCTATGAATACTTGCACTCGTTATCGCAGTAAAAGAAACGCATACTTTTTAGAATTTGATTAATAGGGAATGTAATATGGAATCGCGTACTGTATCTAAAGAAATAAATAACAATATAATTATATTCATTGATATGTCATTGTATCTTATTTTTTATTTCATTTTTAAAAATAAACACAAGGCAACCAGCAATCAAATGTCCTGTTTTTTCTTAACACTCCTTTTTACTTCTTAAACATTTGAAACACTTTAATTTTTTAAATGAAACGCGCATTCCATATAGAAATAAAATTATGTTTTCTACAGGTGTTAAACAGATTAGCTGGTTGCTGCCAAAATAGCACATAGATCTAGTACTTGGTGCAGTTTTTTTTAAAAACGTATTTTGAATTAATCGAATTCCAAGTGTGAGTTCATAAAGCCAGAATTACTTACTATCCCTACGTCTGCGAAACACCTGATCATCTACTGTAAAGCAGTTACAGTGCTTTGTGTATATTCCTATCGCAGTGGGGGCAGGGTGTGTAGGGAAAGGTTTAGACTGCAATTGAATTGGGGCTCTGTATTCTTCAAACCTGAAACATTGTTTTCTCCGAAAGTGTTTTCTTCCCTCTTTAGCTGATCTGTTGCTGCCTACGCATCCTTACACAGCTCCCTACGTGAATTCTTGCTCTTGACTTAAAACAAACTGAAAGTAATACACTGATCGCGCTTTGAACCATTTGGTGCAGTGCTTTGTCCATTACCACTACAAGGACAATAAAAGTTTTTTTTTTTAAAAACGGATGTCAAAATGTTTCCGAAATGTCCACCTGTGATATTTAAGGTGCTTTCTTACACGATTCCATATTCATATAACTATGAAGTGATGTTAAATCACTACAACATTTCTTTTTACAGCAAGTGTTGTTCTTACTACGCATTCTTAGAAAAGGATAAAACTTTATAACTTTTTATGCAGTACACAATATAAGCTTAATAATGTTAGAACAAGCACGTTAAAACCAGAACCCATGTAAGTTAAAGATTTATGCATAATTAAAGTATTTATGATGAAGGTGGAAGGTTGTGTACTTTTATCCAACTGAGCAATCTTACTTTGATAAAATATACCAACTTTTTAATGTTTAATTATTAACATGCTATAATACAAAGCTTAAAATTATTAAAAGTCTAAAGTGTATACAACTTGAATTCTTAACTGGAAAAAGATTGTCCCTCAGCAGTGACTGGGATTCGAAACCGGTCGTTTTCTAGTAACAGCTCAATGCTGTACATGAGACATTTAGCTTTATTAGCTCCACCTGGCGGTTTTCCAAGGTGCTTCCGGACGCTATTATCATATTTCAATTTGCATGCGGTATAGTGTGGTATGATGCGCCATGCCTACTGCGTTTTGACGCAGCGTTGTCAGGGAACCGATGGGTACAATAGGAGGATCCTTATGCATAACCGTGAATCCTGCAGAATGTGGAGTAGCACAGGGAGAATCCAAAACACGTAATCCAGGGGCTTGGTCGATTGGAGAAAAAATGAGTGCGGTAACCAGGGAAATCCGAGAAAGACAATCAGAAAAACTAAATCTAAAAGACGTGGTCAAAAAGGCAGGAGCAAAGATTAGGAACCGGGAGATCAGTCAAAAAATGTTAGAAATGCACACAAGAGAAAACTTCTCAATTGAGGCTTCTCAACAGTGAGTACTGAAGGGAAAGGGATGTGGTTGGATAATTGGTCCAGGAGTGAGAATTGTTTGAATCTCATGCATGTGGTAATGTGATGGGTTCAATTAGGAATGAGATTGTGAAGCAGTGGGTTTGGGAATGTAACGGCGATTGCGGGGGAGAATGTGGGGTGTGACAAGCGTACTTCGTGCATTTTGAATGGCTGGATCTGTATGGAAATAAGATCACAGGGGACCTCCAGCATAATTTTAGAAAAGATGGGTTTTGCTTACCTAACTTGTAAGAGTTTTTTAAACAAGCAACAGCAGCAATGGATACACAGAGCATACAATATGGTATATTTTGATTCTGAGAAAGGTTGTGATAAAGTACTTCTTTAAAGATTAATTTTCAAATTACAGACTATAGGTATTCGGAATATTCCAATTTGTAAGTTTGGACTGAGAAATTTACATTGGTTAATTTAAAAAAGATGCACAGATACTCAGATGTGCTTTTGAGTAAATACTAAAACTAAGGTGATATACCTGTAACAACCTGTATGTATGTGCCCTGTGATGGACTGCCACTATATATGTTGTGTATGTATGTGCCCAGTGCTTTCCGGGATACCAACCCACTATAACATTGATTGGATTAGCGGTTATTGAAAGTGACGTGATGTGACTAGACCTTTTTTTAACTGTTTTGATTATGGGCAGGTTTAATGGGCTTCAGAACCAGAATTACAGTTACATTCATGTAATATTTTAAAAGCAGTCAGTAATTGATGTGTTAATGTCTTTTATTATCTGTCTAGATGAATATTCAAAGGTTTTGGACTATTGGTGCATTATAGTTATTTTTGTTCAATCACATGTTAAAGTTGCTGGGCTCTTATACTGGGTAACATCAAACTGCTCAGGAGACAAACTGCTCAGGAGATTCTGATGCCTTTTACACATCTTTTGCTTCTGCAGCACTTGCACTGATGTCTCAGCAGCTGTCAAAGCTGGTTTCTAAAGCGTTAAGAGGTCACATGTATCTAAGCTATCTGCATCAAGTGTATTCTGCAAGTACAGTATCTAAGTGCATTTGCATGAGCAGGCAAGAAAAATCTTGCTGGAGAACTGCCTGTGAAAACTTAAGTCTATCAGTGAATTGCACCACAGTGTGAAAAATGAATACTGAAGTTATTTGGATGAGAGATATGGAGACTATATAATCAGAATTTGATTTTAAAGCTGTGTGAAAATTTTCTGTCTTAATGCTATACTGTGCTCTTTCTCACTTACCATTCTGTTGGGAAAGTTAGTGAAGTCCTTCACCAGGATCTGTTTGATCATGTCAGGCTCGGAAATTACAATGATGGGTCTTCGACCTAAATAATAACTAAAGGAAAACACACACAGCTGTAAGATAAGTCTAGGATTCTCACATTATGACAGCTAAGACACCATAATACTTCAGGGCATTTAAAAAAATAACATATTTGCTTCATTTGTATAATAGTCAATACATAAGAAAAGGTAATACTGTATATACTATGCATACATTTTCTCATCCCTTTCAAGAGTCACTTATCCATTTCAGGGTCATGGTGGCTCAGTGCCTGTCCAGGGAAGCAATGGGTACAAGGCAGGATACACCCTGTATGGGATGCCAGTCCATCGTAGGTCACACACAGACACAAACACACACACTCACATCAGGGCCTTGTTTATGTAAACCAGTTACCCTACCAGCATGTCTTTAGACTGGGAGGAAACCAGTGCATCTGGAGGAAACTCACACCACCTCATGCAAACTCCCCACAGAAAGCATCCCAGGAATTGAACCCAGGACCCCAGCGCTGTGAGGCAGCAATACTATCAGCCTGTGCCACTATGCTGCAAGTTTTATATGCTTAAATGAGAATGTTGTATCGAGAAATGGGTTGAAATCCTGTCACCCCATCCACATGAGCATTGTTAACAACATGTTACTCTGTTCTCTTCCCCACTGATAGCTGATGTGTGGTGAGCACTCTGGTGCACTATGGCTGCTGTCGTACCATCCAGGTGGATGCTGCACATTGGTGGTGGTGGAGGGGAGTCCTCATGACCTGTAAAGCACTTTGAGTGGAGTGTCCGGAAGAGTGCTACTGTATATACAGTAAGTGTAAGCAATTAATATTATTAATAAGTATTATTATTAGCTCTTGACATGTTATTAGCTCCACACTAGCTTCCATACTGAAAGAGTGGCACATCCGTCACTGACATCACAGTACATCTGAAGACAAATAGAAAGTTACAAGAGTTGCTGTTTTCCTAGAATAAAAAAGTACTGGCCACCAAATTCCAACTATGCTGAGTTCCACTGCTTGTATTCCCAGTCACATTACCTGGCAAGTGATATGACCCAATTTCAGGCTTAAAACATTGGCACCAAAGAGCCTAAACCACACTCGGAATGAGCATTTTTATCAGTGCTATCTCTAGTTAATCTAGACAACCAAGTGTAGGATTTAAATTAGGGTAGCACCTGAGCGAAACTATACTGTAGCTTTAAACACAACTGACCATCACGGAAGAGCTACTTACAGTACATAGAACAGCTACAGTCACATCAGACTGTTCAACAGAGTTACTATAATGGTTATACAGGTTGAGAATCCCTTATCCGAAATTCCTGGGACCGAAAGTGTTGCGGATTTAGGATTATTTCGGATTTCGGTATATTTTTATATTTGCATTTATAAATTGGGACAGCTTGGGGATGGGACCCAAGTCTAAACATGATATCCATTTACATTTCATAATATACCTTATACATATACCCTGAATGTAGTTTTATATAAATTTTTAATAATTTTTTTAACATAATATCATCAGAAAGGAAGATCTGTCACCACCTATGATGTCATGTTTTGATTAAAAGGTTACAGTACATGTACGCCATTTGTATTTTATTTTTTACTATACAGGTATTAAGTTTTATGTAAGGTATAAAAACAAAGCATTGAATATGATTACAGGTAAATAAAATGAAAACTGAAAAAAGTCAGCATTTTATTTTTAAAGTAATGTACAAGTACAGGTAATGACGCTAGTCAAGTTACACTCATACATGGAGGTGAAATTCAGATCTCACGTAAAAATAACGTTTTGTACTTACTGTACAAAAAAACTAAACAAAACATGATGATCACTGCTTACAAACTTGAAGATAAATGCAGCACCAGACATTACAACTACATCAGGTCTGAGAAACTTGAGGGAGATGATACAGTACGTCATCGAAGACATCACTGTGAGCTGGAAAGTTCGGTAAGTTATTTGTGGAATTTTCCATTTGTGATGTGTCATGTCAGCATTAAAAAAACTTTCGGATTTTGGAGGTTTTCGGATTTTGGAATTTCGGATAAAGGATTTTCAACTTGTACAATAAATATGCTTACATTTGATATAATGCAAATTCACTATAGGATTTCTCAGACTTCTAACATTGAAACTGCACTCTAGTAGGCTTGAGTATATAAAGGAATAAGTAATGGTTTATTTTATAAAGAGAAAGAGAAAAGAAACATCATTTTGGCTGTGAACCTTCTTCAGGAGTGAGCAAGAGAGGAAAGTTGGCATGGGTGAACAAAAGCAGGGAGTGGAGAGGAGGGGAGAGTAGACTCTCAGGTGGTGTGAAGTCGAGAGAGGTGGAGAGAGGTGTAAAGTCAAAACTTGCAAATGAATAGAGAGGATTAGAAGGAAACAAATCTGTCATTGAGAGAAGGGGAAAGGTGTGATCCTTGTTTCAGGATAATTTTGGTTTAGCACTTGCAATAGGAGCTGAGAAACCCTTCTTTGAGAACGGAGACAGAGAGATCAGTATGATCATGGTCATGAAATGAGAAACTATGGGCTTGGAGAAATCTTTGATCCTCACAGCCCTGACATGTTCCCTGAAGCAGTCTCCCAGTCTCCTTCCTGTTTCACCAATGTATAGTAGATAGATAGGCATTTTCTGCAAGAGATGCACTAAATAAGATTGCTGGAGGTACAAGATGTCATCTGAGTGATCTGGAATTGTCCAGAGGGTCCCTGAATGAGTTCCTCTCCTCTCCACTCCTGGCTTTTGTACTCCCATGCTTTATCAGCTGCTGGCATTCTTTCTCACACCTGAAGAAGGCTCCACAGCTGAAACATTGTATTTCTTTTCTTCTCTTTTCAACATGGCAAAACTTTTACTTCTTCCTTTGCAGCCTATCCATGCTAATGCAGCTACCTACTAGAGCATAAATATTTACAAGCAAGTACACACTGTGTTAAGTACTGGTTGGCTCATTGTTATACTGTGAATAAGAACATAAGTAAGAACATAAGGAAAGGTTACATATGAGAGGATGCAATTTGCCTCATGTGGCCTAACGGATAAACTACCAGTAGACTACACCATTTGAGATCCTTGAGAAAAGGTGAAAGTACAGTACAGTATGTATGTTTCAATGGGTGCCTAAATGTTCTAGGGATAGATGATTGGTGCCTAAATGATGTACGTAGAGATAGATGATAAATCATTTCTATGATACGGCTTATAAATTACTTTCTTATAACCATATATAAGTTAATGGAACGTTTATGTGAAAATTTATTTTAGTGGTTTGTTCCAGCAAGCACAGAAAAAAAAGTTTATGCTATGGTGGATTCTTTTCAGTTCTGAAAAGTGCTGTGTCTGAAGCCTATCGGTATGAGCCAAATTACTTTTTATTTTCTGTTGACTCATCAGAATAAAAGGGCTCATTAGATACAACACAACTGTACAAGGGTATGATGAAACTTTGCATTAACTCTTGCTTTTACATAAACTCTTAATCTTTCAGGAAAATAATGTTTATCACTACAAACCACGATCTGCAAGTTTACACTTCAAATTGGAATCTATGTTATTCACAGGTGTGCAGTTGTACTTGATCTTATCTACAGTAGTACTTGAGGAACCAGCTGCATAGTCTACACATACATCAACCACCACTGCTGATATGGCTTGAATCCAGACTTGTTTTTATGGCCTTGTGGAATTTTTCTTGCTACGCATTTGCTTAAGTTAACTGTAGTCAACAGGGTGTCTTGTTGGAGTACATGGCTTGAGTATTCCAGATACCAAATATGCCTTTCAATCTTTCCAATGAGGAAATGATGATGCACTCAAAACTTAGAGAGTAAACTTAACTTTAAACCATTACATACTTATTACCTGGGGTTGCAGTGAATTCTGTCATTCAGATTCAGGAAGGCTCAGAATATTTAAACAGTAGTAGACACATAGTAAAATAACTTTACGAACTTGAACATAAAGACTAGGAGTGATTCAAATAACAACTATAAGGTTGAGTGGTGGGTCAACAGGGCCTGTCTGCATTTTCTCATTCTTTCTTTCTGGGTATGGGGTCACTGATGTCAGTCAAGACATAAAGACACAACTGGCAATTCCAAATGAAGTTGGTGTATAATATATAAAATGGTGGTTCTGTTTCTTTTTTCAGAAAAACGAAAACCATGAATTAGTTGGTAATGACTATAAAATTGGCATAAAAAAGCCTATCCCTTTAATTCATATGTTACAAAACATGATACAGATTTTAGGCTTGAGCAACATGCAAGAAAATACTTTTATCTTGAGGGATTCTTACATATTCTTAACCACTCCTGTCACTGTTACAGTATTTGAATGAATTTTATAATTCACTGAAATATATTATGCAGTTTGTACAATAAAAAATAACCTATACACACTTCTGATGAGCATATTAAAAACAAATTCCTAAAATAAGATAAATCTATGTATTTATTAAGTTAGTTGCATTATGCAGGAAGGATTTTGTTCCTTTCACCCCTGCAAACTACAGTTCCTTATATTTTCCCCACACCACATTGTTCACTTTAATGACATTCCAGTGAAGGAGGTTTTAACTGGAGGCAGAGAACTAGGATAATTAAGTTAATTTATAAAGGCATGATAATTACATATGACGCCAGTCTAGAAATCTCTGATGTGAATGTTACAAACCTCCTTTTCAGATGGGCAAATATGCTTCTTGTGCTTACTGCAATACTAAACAAAATACTTTACCTCTTTACTGAAGTGTGAAATCAATTTGTCCTCTTAATAAACTTGGTTGTAATTCATCTCTACATATAACAGAAACAAAATCAAGAAGAACAAAAACATCAAATGATATAAGATTGTGAAAAATATCACTAAAACACACACTGTAACTCTACATCAATGAATATTAATATCATGAATCTGTCACACCTGATGAAGGCTTCACAGCCGAAACGTGTTTTCTCTCTTCTCCTTTCAGCATGGAATAAACCTATTACTTGTTCCCATGAATATTAATACAGTAATGAAGC